TTGCTGTAAAAATCTGTGAATTGAGTTAAAGTATGTAGCCTAATTTTAAACAGTTAATATTTGATAAATAATAAGACTCAGCGTCATCACACCGCATCAGCACCTTGCCTGCTGTCTGCCAGTTGCAATATTTACAAAATAAAACATGTGCCAGTAACAATAATAAAACATAATAATATAATTAATAGGAACCTAATTTAATTGGAGCGAAATAAGTTATATTCTCATCTTAAATATAGAAGCAGAACAATTTATGATTATGATTTTGACTTTAAACACATTTAAACAAACAAAATAATACAAAATTACTGATTGATTGCCTCTTGGAAGTTCAGTAATGAATTGGAGCTATTTACTGTGACAAAAATACTTAAAAAACAAATTACAATGTAAGGCATTAAATATGTGTTAAACATGTTGTTACATTTGTTACAATTAAATGAATCAATTCTTAGAATAGTAAAATGCAACAAGAGTATTAATATCAAGATAACATTATTTAAAAAAAAAGTAAAACATTTTTATGTTTATAAATAGATCTGACTGAAACCATCCTATGTATAACTGAATATTTAATAGTTTCAGGAAAGTAGTCTATGTAATTGTACTTAAAACAATTAATGGAGTTACAGATCCTATAAATAAATATACAAATTTACAACGAAAATACTGTAAAATAACTCGTATATACATATACCAACATAAAGTTATTCAGATTATTAAATGTTATAGAAAAACCAAAAAAGTTGAAATATTTAAAAGTGTTAAGTTTAAAATGAAATGAAATGAAATGAAATGAAATGTGCTTTATTGTACAATTTGGAACATTACACAATGATACATACTTATGTGCACACAAAAACAATGGTTAATAAACCGTCTGTTTGGTTGACACATTAATTGTTGTTTTAAATAAATAACCGAAAGTAACTCATTGACAAAAGACTGAAAATAAAATAATAAACTTAACATAAAATACATTTTTTTTTTTTTTAAGATCTATCTATAAACAGAGCTGATAGTAAAAGTCACAAACAAGGAAAAAATCATTTTTGAGATTACTTGCTTTTCCAGTTGTCTAAAAGTTAAACTCCTGTATTAGATCCCATCTTACACTCCAAGCATCTCTTAAAAACCCACCCAAAGCCCGCCAATCCCTTCCATTTAAATAATCAAAGAATTCGTCTTCACTCAAAGAATGTGCTTTTAGCCAAAAATATCTGATATTCTTTAGAATTGGGCATACTGCTACGTAATGAAACACTGATTCAATTTGCCTATTATTGCATAGAGAGCAAATGTAATTTTTATTCTCTATCCAAGGTTGATAATTTAATGACAGTAGCCCTGCTCTGGCCTTAATAATCCAGGATATAAGGGAAATGTCCAAGTTATCAGTGAGCAAGGGTCTGTCGCCGAGCTCAAGGTCAAGAGAGAGATATTGTTGGTGGTACACAGACGTTATCGCTCTCCCCTCGCACTCCCCCTTCCATGCGCGCCGCTCTACCTCTACCAGACCAAACAGCTGTGTCTGGAGTGAGTCTAAATCATCAATATTAAAATCTATCGTCATTCCTCTTTTGCACCCAATCGATTTTAATTGCTTGCACCAGTAAATATTTTTTGAAATAATTTGTTTGGCAAGAATATGTGGGAGTCTATTTTCTGGGAGTAATAAAACTTTTAATATTGTCTTGATATGTAGCGCCAATGTATAAATATGCAATTTCTCGAAACCTGTTTCTAAATATAACACATAATTGGGAGTGTTTCTAGGTAGACGGAATAATTTTTTAAGAAAAAAGTTTTGTGCGTTCTCTATTGTTTTGGATTCCAAAAAGCCCCACACTTGTGCTCCATAACATAAAATCGATCTTAAAACTGCGTTATAACAAACTATTTTTGAGCTTAGCGGAATCTTACTGCCCCTTATGAAACTAGCCCATATTGAATTAATTGCTAGTTTTGTCATAATATTCTTTTGATGGAAATATAAGTTCCACGACAAAGATGGAGTAAAATCGACCCCTAGATATTTATAGCTGTTTACTACCTCTATTGTTTTGCCTTTGTACCACCATTGACAATTTGTTCCAAGCCTCCCTCCTTTCCTAAATACCATGACTTTTGATTTATTTAAATTGAGGTTGAGGTTCCATATTTCACAGTAATTTTCTAGCCTATTTATCATGTGCTGCAGACCTGTAGCTGTCGGAGATATAATCACTATATCGTCTGCATACATCAGCATATTGACCCTCTGACCACCAAAGTTGCACCCACCTTCTAACACTTCTGGCAGATCATTAATGAATAATGAGAAATTAATAGGGCTGATTAGACATCCCTGTCTTAAGCCCATGGAGGTGTTAAAGCTGTTGGTTATTCCTCCAGGAACCCATATTGACGCCGTGGTTCCCGAGTAATAGTTCTTCAATATAGTTAGTAATTTTGTTGATAAGCCTAAACACGATAATTTGAACATAAGGGCATCTCTGTCTATTGTATCAAAAGCTGATGAAAAATCAATAAAAAAACAAAATAGTTTCCCCTTGTTTTCCTCTAATCTTAAGTGTCCCATACAGGTTAGGTTAAAAATATTATCTATTGTTGAATACCCCCTCCTAAACCCAGCCTGAAACTCCGTTAATATATTTTTTTCATGGACCCAATTAGTAAGTCTATTGTTTACTAAACCAATAAAAAGTTTTGCTATACAATCAATAAAAGATAAACCTCGGTAATTTTCAACGCAGTTAATATCCCCCTTCTTATGCAATGGAAACACAATTGAACTTTTAAAGGATTCTGGTATTATTCCCGTTTTATAACAATTATTGTAGATTTTAAGTAGTTTAATTAGTAAAACCTGAGGCGCATTTTTGTAAAATTCATACGGAATTCTATCGCGACCCGGTGCTTTGTTTTGTTTAGCACTGGACAAGACGGTTGTTAACTCAGCGAGAGTGAAATCACTATCAAGGTATGCATCTACGATAAAAGGTTCTGCGTAACTTATCTTATCTACTAGTAAAGGTGGGTTGAGTAGGGTGTGAAAATGTTTAACCCACTCTGACGATGCAATTTTCCCAATCTTCTTCCCTTCCTTTTTTTTAATTACACTGACTGCTTGCCAAAAACTCCTTGAATCTGATGTTTGACTTAAATTTATAACTAAATTATTTTGATACAATTGTTTCTTTTCTCTACAAAGGGATCTAAAAAATTTTTGCTCATGGGAGTACTGTAATTTGATTATTTGGCAGTTTGATTTCCTGTAACGATTTAACATCTTAAAAACCCGTTTTCTTTGAGCCAAACATTCGTTATCGAACCAAGGCTGTTTCTTAATAAAAGTATAAGATTTTTGTTGTGGCTTTAGTTTAAAGGCCGCTGCTTTAACAATTGTCTCTGTTAACTCTGCTATAACTTTCTCGTTGTCCTCTGTATTCGAAAACTGGAGCATGGCTCTTTGAATTTTGTTACTGTAAAATAAATCGTCATTTTTAGTCCATTTTAATTTAGGTAACAGAGGAAGGATAACATTGTCATCCTCACCCTCAATCCCATTCTCGACTAGGACCCTTAAGCTCACTTCAACTGGCATGTGATCAGAACCTGGGCAACTGATAACCTTAAAATCGCTGACTACGCTTAAACAATCTATAGATACTGCAGCTAAATCAATTACTGAGCTTCCCATGCCACCTAGGAAAGTAAACTCTCCATCCTTATCACCTTTTGTCCTACCGTTTAAAACTACTAACCCTAAATTTGTAAATAGATCTAATATTTTCTTACCTCTAGAATTCACTATGGTATCTTTAGACCTTCTGCAACTAACTAACGAGTTATTAAAATTATCTATTGTTCCCTCAGTAAAATTCTGTTCAGCTCCTATTCGTCCATTAAGATCCCCAATCAAAACTAAATTATCTAAAGAACGCAGTTCAGTAAAATATACCAAATTTTGAAACTGTTCCTCCCATTCGCCGTAGTTTAAGTATAGAGGCAAAATTGTAATTTTTTTACCTGAATCTGAACAGAGATTTTTATGACAAAGTTCTATTATAGGAAAATCTTGATAATCTACATAACTTATATTTTTTGCAAACGGTAACTGTAAATTGATTAGAATAACCAAACCTCCCTTGTGTCTACCATAGTGAGCTACTCTACTTGCACTTATAATGTACACAGAATAATTTTTAAACTTAGTGCATAAATACTCTTTATCTTTTTCTGTAGCAAAGGTTTCTAAAAGTAAAATTAAATCATAGTTATTTAACATTTCCAGAAAATATGAATCATCTAGCTTGTTTTTTAATCCACATATATTGTAACTCAAAATTCTCAAAAAATAGTCTTTTACCGGTGTTTTCGAGTTGCTGGTCCGTTGCCCCTCGCCCTCAAAGGTCCTGGGATTAGCGCAGCCTCCTCAGCCTGATGACAGCTCCCCCTCCTCCAAATCCTGATCTCTCGGACTGGTGGTTGTCATGGTGGTTGTATGCTTGGTCGTGTTGCTCTCGGTCTCGTTGTAGGCCACTTTACCACCTGCTGCCTCAGCATACGTCTGCCGGCGATCGCGCTGTTTGCTGTCATGGTTCTTAATCTTCTCCAGGGCCTCCCTAAGGTCGTGTTTGAACATCGCCCGTAGTTTTTCTGCACCGTCGTCCTTGCCTGCCATCAGTTTGTCGTCTTCCCAGCTGAACCTTATGTTGTTTATGTACACATGGTCGTATACCAACGGCATTCGTCGCCACCCTGCGACGCGCTTAACCTCACTTCGCACTGCAGCTAGCCTCGCCCTCTTCACACGTATTTCTTGTTAAGTTTTAAAGTTTCACACCTTGAAAAACATTTTGTAAAAGTTAATAATCAAAATAATCTCGTTTGCTGAGCTATTTTAAATTTTAATTCAGATCTCTATGAAAATAAATGTGGTAGACTAACTATATTTAAGTAGCCTACAATTTACGATGATCAAAATACCTGCAAGTTCACTTTTTGTACTTATCCAGGTCTTCTTTGCACTTTTTGTACTTGTCCAGGTCTTCTTTGCACCAGATTCTGACAGCTTCATCCTTCTCCCCCAACTTGATTAGGATCTTTCCGTTAAAGTATCCGGCAAAGTGAATGGCCCCGTCTCGCTGCATCGCACGTGCCTGGCCCAGGAGTCTTTTGTTGTGCGCAGTCAGGTGTTCGTTAACGTAAACGTTGTTAGGTGTTAGATTCGGAGAGATGTCAGTTGTGTTCAGATTCCTTCTTCTTCTAGCCGCTGAGAGCCACTTTTCCTTAATTGATCTGGAGACGAATTGTACGATTATCGGTGGGAACGTGTGTTTCTCCGAGAAGAGTCGTAGACGATGCGCGATTGACACATCTTCCCTATTAAAGTCGATGTCAATTGCAGCTGCGAGCTTCTTTAGAACATAGTAGACATTTTCACCAGATGTTTCCGGAATGCGGAACTTCGATGTTAGCACAACAAGAGTGTTGGTCCGCGTCGTTGAGGCGATCCTGCAGTGACCGGACTTCCTTGATCAGCGTGGCGTTGTCTTGTTCCAGCGCGTCGCACCGAGACTCTGTAGCCTGCTGTTTAGCTTCCAGGGAATTAAATTTAGCATTTAATGCGTGCATTTCTTCTTTTAAGTTGTCTAACTTTTCCACTAAACACCCCGTTGCTGCATCTGAGTTTTTTATTAGATCGGCCTAGAAGTTACTAAGGGCATCGAGTAGAGTCTTTTTATCCACAATAGCACTATTGGGTTGAGTTCTGCAGACCGAGTGGCGTGCACGTGGAGTGGAACTCATGACTACAGTCCGTGCATTTAGCAACTAAATTCTCTTGCTTAAAGTCCACTTTACACTTAAAACATTTTGCTGGCAACTTACAGTCACCGAACAAAATATATATATATATATATAATTATATTGATTTAAAAGAAACACGACACAAAGTGGTAAAGGCACTGGCAGACAGGTATCAGCACGGAACTAGATAACCGGCGAGCTAACTGATAAGCGGTCCGCTCTCAACGAGGTCTAGATATCAACTGATACATACCAATGCATTGCTCCCAAGGTACTTATATAAGCACTTCTAGATGGATCAGCTTGAATCAGACCACCCTGGTCCACATACCAATGCATTTATCCCAAGGCACTTATCCCTAGGCACTTATGTAAACATTTCTAGATGGATCAGCTTGAATCAGACCACCTGGTCTACATAACAATGCAATTCTCCCAAGGTACTTATGTAAAATCTTCTAGATGGATCAGCTCAAATCAGTCCACCTTGGTCCACATACCAATGCATTTCTCCCAAGGTACTTATGTAAAAACTTCTAGATGGATCAGCTTGAATCAGCCAACCCTGGTCCACATACCAATGCATTTCTCCCAAGGTACTTATGTAAATACTTCTAGATGGATCAGCTTGAATCAGCCAACCCTGGTCCCCATACCAATGCATTTCCCCCAAGGTACTTATGTAAAAACTTCTAGATGGATCAGCTTGAATCAGACCACCCTGGTCCACATACCAATGCATTTCTCCCAAGGTACTTATGTAAAAACTTCTAGATGGATCGGCTTGAATCAAACCACCCTGGTCCACATACCAATGCATTTCTCCCAAGGTACTTATGTAAAAAATTCTAGATGGATCAGCTTGAATCAGACCACCCTGGTCCACATACCAATGCATTTCCCCCAAGGTACTTATGTAAAAACTTCTAGATGGATCAGCTTGAATCAGACCACCTGGTCTACATACCAATGCATTTCTCCCAAGGTACTTATGTAAAAACTTCTAGATGGATCAGCTTGAATCAGTCCACATACCAATGCATTTCTCCCAAGGTACTTATGTAAACACTTCTAGATGGATCAGCTTGAATCAGACCACCTGGTCTACATACCAATGCATTTCTCCCAAGATACTTTATCCAAACGGATTAGCTTGAAACAGCCTATACCTTGGTACATATACCAATACAATACTTGATAACTGTGTACGGCACCATGCTTTATTTCACGGCCATCTTATGTAGGCTACGCCTTAGTAATGTGGGAGGACTCATCAGCAGCAAAGGATATCTTAATTCTCGAGATTATAAGGGTTTTTGTACGGTTATTGGTTACAGAGAAACTGTAAAAAATGAAAATTTAAAATCCCCATGGTAAGGAGAATGTAATCTTTTGTGGTTTTCCTGTAATGGATATTTTGATCAAACTCTGCAAATTAATTCATTTTGTACAAAGGTATTATCGTTTGACTAAAATTGCACTTTAATACACTTTTTGTAGAAGCAAACCTAAGTAACACGGGAGACGGATGGTCTTCATCTGCGTAGTACTGAGAGTGCGGTGGTGCGAGGTGGTCATGATGGGCATAGTTCTGCTCTACCAAGGCCACACTAAAAAAAGGCCGTAATGCTCGTCAAGCATGACGTCACGATAGAAGACGCCATTTCATTAAAACAGTCAGTATGGAATAGTGGGACTTGCAATGTCGATTGTTTGGCTATGGCAGTTTCATGGGAAGTGGTGAGTCTATTACAGCTACACAACGATTGTTTCGTGCACGGTAATATCGGTCGACAATTAGCTGTATCGAGCCGTAACACAAACATCAGATGGATGAAAAACTTCAAATTGACTGGAAACATACTGGATTCAAAATTTGTCTTACAGATTTATGATTAACTCGTAGCTCACTAGCATGATGTCTAGCTGACTGTCCTGGGCTTCTGACTACCTCTTCCTTTACCCTTTCAACATTTTCTGGTGTCGTTACAAAGCGTATTGGGCCAGGATGCTTCTTATCCAGTATGTTTCCAGTCAATTTGAAATTTTTCATCCATCTGAGGATAGTGTTACGGCTCGGAACATCTCATTGTCGACCGACATTAAAAAATGCACACAAAAAATCGCTGTGTAGCTGTAATAGACTTGTCATTTCCCCTGAATCTTCCATAGCCAAGTCCCATTGTTTCATAAGGATTGTTTTAATGAAATGTCGTCTTGTGTAGAGCAGAACTATGCCCGTTTACGACCACCTTCCACCACTGCACTCTCAGTCAGGCCCGTTTTTGACCATGTCAGCGCCCTAGGCACAACTAACAGTGGCGCCCCTTTGCAATATATAACAGGGTGACCACCAACCGGGAAATCCGGGAACTAAGCGTGAATTTTTTTGAACCAGGAATTATGTGTTAATTTTCTATTTCTACCTGGAATTGTCAATTTACAACAGTGACGTTTCCGTGACCACGGGAGACGGGAGGCGATAATATGTCTCCACAAGCCCTCGAGGGATGATCAGAACTTTGCCGCGATCGCATGAGATGATAATAATATTTAAACGACCGCGGGATATGATCATGATTTTACCACGATCGCGCAATACGATAATGAGATCCACAGAGCCGTGAAGGATAATCAGAATATTGCCGCGATCGCATGATACGATGATAATGTCTAAACGACCATGGGATATGATCATGATTTTACCGCGATCGCGCGAGACTATGATAATGACTAAATGACCGCGGGATATGATCATGGTCCACACAACCACGGAAAACAGTCAGAAATTTGCCACGATCGTGGAAGATGATAATGATATCCACATAACTGCGGGATATTATTAACATTTTGCCGTAATCGTGGGAGACAATTACGATCTCTTCACGATCGCGGGAGACGATTACGATGTCTTCACGACCGAGGGAGACGATTATATGATGTCTTCACGACAGCGGGGGACGATTGCGATGTCTACAGGATCGCGGGAGTTACAATAATGATGTCTACTCTACACGGCTGCGAGGGATGATCAGAATTTTACCGCAATCGCGTAAGACGATGATAATGTCCACTCAACCACGGGAAAGATCAGAAATTTGCCTCATTCGTGAAAGACGATGATGATCTCCAAACAACCGCGGGAGATGATTACCATTTGCCGCAATGGCGGGAGAGGATGACAATGCCTCACGACCACCGGAGGCGATGATGTCTTCACGGCTGTGAGGGATTATCAGAATTTTATCGTGATCACGCAAGAAGATGATAATGTCCACACGACCCCGGGAAAAGATTACAATTTTGCCTCATTCGTGGTAGACGGTGATAATCTCATCACGACCGCGGGATGTGTTCATATATCGCCGCGATCAAGGAAGACGATAATAATTATGTCCACACATCCGCTGGAAATAGTCAGAACTTTGACGCGATCGCGGGAGACGGACGATGATGACGTATATACAACCGCGGTAAATAATTAACATCTTGCCGCAATTGTGGGAGACTGTTAAGGTGTCTACACGGCCGCAAGGGATGATTATCAGTTTACCGCGATCGCATGCAAAAACGGCCACAATTTTTTTTATTTTTTCCAATTTTTTGGCGCCCCCCAAAAAAGCCAATTGCCTCGCGCCCTAGGCACGTGCCTACCTTGCCTATTCCGTAAATCGGCCCTGCTCTCAGTACTACTATAGACTAACCAACACAAGTAGACTTCTCATCCCATTGTAAATTTTGAAACACGTTTTTCGTGTCTAGTTCATGTACGTGACACAAAGGCGCTAGTGTCGACAAAACTTTGTTTCTATTATTTTAGGGTTAATTTCTTGATTTGTGCTTTACTGTTTGGTTATATAACTAGGGGACAAGTTATTGTTTATGATTAGATCGTATTATTTGGTTAAACGAGGTTTTAAATGGCTGTAATAATGGGAAACAAATTGTAAACAAAAGACGACCTCTACATAAACCGTACAGAACTAACAATAAAACTGTCTTCAGCTGTTCCATTAGGATGAGAAATCTACTAAGGGAGTATGTTTTATCTATGGTACTACGCAGATGAAAACCGTCCGTCTCCCGTGTGTCACCCTACTAGTTAAACCTAGTGTTATTTAAATAGGGAATAAATAATCTGACATGTCTAAGGAAACATTTAAACAAAACCAAATCAAGCAAATACAAATTTGCTTAGTCTGCAGGTTTACTGTGGGGGGGGGGGGCATAAGACCTTGGCATTCTTACAGTTGTTAGCCTGTATTTACTGAGCATCCTTACGGTTCTGAAAGAGAAGTTCCACCTGTTTGACAGATAAGTACACAACCGCTATGGCACTTGGCAAGCTACACCTTGATATTCCGCTATGTTGTTTCACCCCCACCCGCACTATCTCCCCTATGCCAAACGGCTCTTTAACATCTTGCCGGAGACGGTGCGGCAGATGAATATCAAAGGTGCACCTCTTTCAAAACAGCAGCAATTCAAAACACCCTGTTAAGATGGTCATTGATTTGCTGGAGGAGCTGAGCGAGTCCCTAGAATTCATGCAAGAGCCCAAACCCCTCAAAAGTGTTATTTCCCACTGCAGCCTGGTTAGTAAATGTACTTTGAAACAATCCATTCGACAAGCCAAGTAAGCAAGTAAAGACAAGTAAACAAAACAACAATACATTTCTATATAATTTATTTAAAAAAAAAAACAATATACAGCTGAGACTAATCATTGATGATTTTGTCAAAGATCTGTATAACAACATTCGGTTACTTTACAAACAGTACAGATTGATCAAAACATTAAGGGGAAACAAAAAGTAATTAACTATGAAAAACTATTACATTTTCGGGATTCGCATATTTAACAAATGCAAAGGTTATCTTAAAAGCATTCAAATCAAAATTAATAGGCTATATATAAAAAATTACATTTCAAAAGATTGCATTGACGTTCATTACAGTTTTTAACCTAATTTTAACCTAATTGAAATATTCAGACTGCATAGTTTTCATCATACTCCAGCTTTTTTTATAATAAAAAAAAATCTAAAGTTGTACATTTTATTTTCATGACGAATAATAGGCTATATGAATTTTAGCCTGGATACCATACAACATTTAAGCTGGTATAAAGTTTAAAATCAAATCAAAGATTAGTATTTCTATCCAAATCTTCAACCTTACAGTGAATTACTTTTAGGACAAATTATGTATTATTTATCCAGTTATTACATTTTAAGACAGTATCAAGTTTCAGTTGAATCGAGAGCAAAGACCTAAAGTGAATGATACCTAACAATTTTGACATAAACCTAGTATTGAGGATAGAAATAGCAGGACCAAGCCTGCATGACAAAAGTATGTATAGTTTGTTTCATCCACCCATCAATTAAATACAATTATTTAGACTATAAACCCTAGGTGCAACAATTAAGTGTTCCTTACATTATACAACACATCAGTCTTGTTTTAAGTCTTTACTGTTATCACAGACTAGATATACCAGATCTATAATTATAATTCAAAATCACACATGAGAAAACTACACTAATTCACAAACTACACTTAATTCACTTTATTTTTGTGGGCTATTTTAAATTATTTTTGAAATTTTGTTCTTTAAGAATCACTGGTAATCAGTAAATTACAGTTTTATGACAAATATTGTAGGCATACTCTTTAGCCAACTACAACATTTTAAAACAGAATCAAGTTTCAAGTTAAATAAAAAACAAGGAACTATAGTGAATGATGATAATTTTACCAAATTCCTTATTTTAAGAACAACAATAGAAACAAAGAATTTGTATTTTAACAAGCCTGCTTAGTATAGTATGTTCCAAACACTTAACAACAAAATAAAATTACTTAGACTAAAAGTCTTCAAGTACAAAAATTTAGCATTTCATTAACAATGTCAGTCTTGTCTCACACGGGTCATACAATACTACAACTAAAATTTAAAACTAAACAAGAGTAAAAACACTTTAAATTGCAATTTTAATGTTTTGTGAAGTATGCAAGAAAATGACTAATTCCCTACGTTCATTACCCATAACAATCCAAAAAAAGCTAAAACGACAGCCATTGCTAATCTGTTTGGCGTGCTATACAACATCATCACTATTCCAAGTACCTGTAATCATTTGAAAGAATTAGTAAAAAAAATCATTTAGACTAGTTTTGATTACAAAATCGAACATTGCCTCTGTATTTCCACTTTTATTTTGTAATCCATGAAATTGGTGACAACCAAATGCTAAAAAATTTTCAGTGTAGCAGATTGTTTGTGGATATTTAATTTGTAAATAGGCTGTCTTTTGCAAACCTGAATAGTTATAGCACTACGGCTGTTTCGGAGATCACTCCATCGTTGGGTGAGTAGTCGCACACTAAACTAAAATCACTATTTTTAGCGCACCCGACAATGGAGTGATCTCCAAAAAGGCTGTAGTGTTTTTTTTAGAGTTTGAAAACTGTAAGTAGCCTAAATATATTTACAAAAGTAAATGCAATTCAACGTCAATCAAAGTAGAGGCAGGTATTTGATCTACTACTGTACTGGTGTATACAATGCCTCAGCATAAAGGTTGGGGAAGCTCTACATTTGTAAATTCAACTAAATCGAATAGGAAATTTTAAGTTTCTATTAAAATATTAGTTGTTGAATATCGTTTCTGTGTGGATTGTAAACTGCTTGCATAAAAATCACACTAATAACTTTATTATTATTTTGTGGATGTGTCCAGAGCTACAGACATATATGGTCCGATTTTTATGAAATTAGGTAAGTGGGTACTAATGTAAACGATGGATGTTGCTTTTAAAGAGTCATCAGATTTGCCTTTTGTGTAGAGTAGGATTTCTTAACATTTATTTTAAATTACAAGAGGAAACACTTAACACAAATTTGTATATACAAGGCATTTTACTTAGTGATGTATGCTTAGTTGAATAACCAAAAACATTGACTACTTAGACTACTCAAAAATATAAGTAGTCGTCAGAATGGTTTGAATTTTCATCATGGCAAAGGATGTAATGTAACTTCTTTTAGTTCTGGTATCCTCCCCTCCCACCCCCAGGACCTCCTCTCCCTCTGTCCGGGCCTCCACCTCTCCATCGGTCTCCTCTGCTACCTCCTCATAGCTGTCATAGGTCATAGCTGTCTGGAAACCATCATTGGACTTTCCGTTCCAGTCGCCGGACTGCTGAAGCCTAATGTAAAATCTAGTGTCGTACAACTATTAGGTACAAGAGTAGGCAAGAAATAATAGAGTTGCCATCAACACTCTTTACAAGTTGGAGATTACCAATTTGAAACGACTACAGAGTTTAAGTACTTAAGAATAACCATAGGCCAAGAAAACAAAGAAGAAGTTGATATAAGTGCTGATATTCATGGGGAATAAATGTATTTGGGTATATCACTACTAAAACGTAAACTTTTGCCAAGGAAAACCAAATAATAATTATAACACCGCAAATATTACCCTACTTATAACTACTAAATAACAAATCTAAATCTATAAAGAGTAAACTAAATTGGTACAACAAATCATAGCAGCTTCTCAATTTATAAACAATTATTAAAGAATAACTGTGAAAACTCTCAAAATGTTTATAACATCTACCTGAAATGTAAGAAGGAGTACAATTCTGAACTCAAATTATCCAAAAGAAAAGCTTTTGAAAAACATATTGAACTTGCTTCTAATAGATGTAAAGCTGCACGGGAGGTTATCAATCATGAAAACTCACCAATGTGTACCAAGTCTGTGGACTTAGATGCTGACAAATTAAATGATTATTTTGTTGATTCAGTTAGGGAGCTGGAAAACAGCATTGATGTCGTTAATAAATGTCCATCGGATTTATTAGGTAGCCCTCATGACATTTTGAATTTTAATTGGAGGGAAGTATCATCAGATGATATAGTTAAAATAGTTTCCAAGCTTTCAAACTCAAAAACCATGGATTTTTATTGGCTGTCAAATTATGTTCTAAAACGGGCTATACATTTAATAAGTGAACCACTGGCCTTTTGTGTAAACAAATCCTTAAAGATTGGCAGTTTTCTTGAGTTTCTAAAAATTTCAAAGGTGATACCAGTGTTCAAGAAAGGGAATAAACTTGCCTCAAAATTATAGACCAATATCTATTGTCCCAATCTTCTCAAAAATCATTGAATCGGTGGTTTATGAACAATTAAATGGGCACTTGGTAAACAATAATATATTGACAGATTCGCAATTTGGATTCCGGGAAGGAAAGCCAACTGCTTCTGCAGTTCTAAAAGTCATTAATAAAACAATAAATGCTTTTGAAGACAAAGAAATTGTTTCTCTCACATTGTTTGACCTCACAAACCTTTTGATTGTGTTCCTCATAACATTTTGCTTAGTAAACTCAAATTTTATGGCATTGAGGATGCACAGTTAGGTTTCGTTCATTCGTACTTAAGTAATAGAAAGCAGTATGTTTCAGTTGGTGGGATGCAATCTGGCTTAAGAGATGTGGTCTCTGGTGTTCCACAGGGCTCGGTCCTTGGAATATTTCTATTTATAATATGTATCAATGATTTACCTCGAAATGTTGGGATTTACTCTGTAATATATGCAGACGATACTACCCTAATCGCCACTCATAAAGACATTCATACTCTAAATACAATGACCAATGAAGCCATAAACCTAGCTTCTGTTTGGTTTTCAGCGGGAAGCTTAAATGTAATCAGGATAAAACGCAAAATATTTTAATTGGCTTCTCCAATGAAATTGAAAAACACTCAGTCAAATTGCTGGGTTTTTGTATAGATTCTAAATTGAATTGGAAAGAACAAATAGAAAGCATCTGTAAAAAGATTTCCCGCGTTAAATGCCTAATCTGGAAACTCAAAGATTTTGTTACTTTTGATTATTTAAGAACGGCATACTTTGCTTTTTTCAGTCACATATATACTATGGGCTAATGCTGTGGGAGCATTCGTCTTATTCAGATGAAATTCTTATTTTACAGAAAAAAGTCATTCGGACCATTTGTAGAGCAGGTCCTGTGGATCACTGCAGACCTCTTTTCATCAGGTTTAGAATTATGAAAATAATTAATTTATACATTTATCAAATTATGCAGCATACAAAAATTAACCTACATGAATTTAATATAAGACAAGATTTTCATTCTCATAATACAAGGAATAAACTACAGCTAGACATAACAGCTCATAGACTAAAAAAAAGTAGCAATAGTCATAGACTAAACTGCATTAATTTTTTTAATAAATTGCCTGATTCGGCCAGAACTGTATCCTTCAAGATATTCAAATCTAAATTATGTGAATGGTTGATAAGTAATCCTTTCTATGGCATCCATGAATTTCTAAAAACAAAAGTTGATATTGAATTTTTATGTGTATCTACATGATCCATATTCTCTAGGTGTATTGTATTTTAATGTAAGTATTTTGTAAAACTTTGTATTTTATTTGTTAATTTGGAATGTTTTGTATGTGTTTTGACTATGTCTATTCCTTTGTACAAAGAAAGGTCAATGGCAATAAAACTCTTGATTCTTGATTCTCACTGGTCGGGAACCTGGACATTGATAAAGAACCAATAAAATAAAATAATTCATTTGGAAAATAAAATACTAAGAACTATCTATAGTTTCATCAATGAAAAGAGTGTGTGAAGAATTAGTACAAACAAAATACCAAGGGGAATCTATATACAGACCCAGACCTAATAGCCCAAATAAAAAGTAGGGGACTGAGATGGGATAGTCATGTGAAGAGAAAAGACGAAGATTCAGTGCTAAGAATGGTGTCTGGAAATCTTCCTAGAGGAAGACGACCACTAGGACAACCTTGGCTAAGATGGCAGGATCGGGTGCAAAGAGACGTAGCAAAGCTAAGAGCAGAGGCGGAATGGATTGAAGACAGAGAAAGGTGGCGACTTGTTGGTGAGGCCAAAAACCAACTGAAGTTTGAGTGGCCGGATAGGTGGGTAAGACATTCTGACAGCTGATGACGTGCTCCATTCGCAGCACGAAACAGTATTAGTAGATTTTAAACACCGCAGATCATTTTGACGCCCCCAGAGGGGAGGTAATTGCCCGGTGTTGGAACTGGCACTTCAGGTAGGCCACAGTTATGGACGACTGGACAAGCCAGCCTCTTTGGGTTGTACCCAAAGTGAGAGTACCCAGTGACATTCCTCCATCCAGGATGGTGGGTGTTCAGCTCTGCGAGACTTCGGTCTCCCACCTGCCTGTGGCTGTGGTTCTTTGGGGATTGCCCTGCCTGTAGTGTACGACTGACCCCAGGTCATGACTGGTCATGGCTGAGGTTATGTGAGGCGTAACCTCGGCTCTGGAAGTAGCCTCTTCCTGGGAGGTGAAAAACGGGCAAGCAAAGCCCCCGAAGGGGAGGTAACTGCTCGGTGTTGGAATCGGCAATGCAAGTAGGCCATAGCTATGGACAACTGGACAAACCAGCCCCATAGGGGAGAGTACCCAGTGACATTCCTCCATCCAGGTTGGTGGGATGTTCAGCTCTGCGAGAGGTGGAAGTGCGCCATCAATCTCTCACCTGCCTGTGGCTATGGTTCTATGGGTTTCGGTTGCTGTGTGCGATCAACATTTTGTGTAGCAAATCCTCGACTTTGGAAGTAGCCTTTCCTGGAAGTGAAATCGGGCAAGTACCCGTAAGCTCATGGGGACACTCTAGGGGAACGTAACTTTCCGCAGTGTGAGGGCAACGGCTGGGCGCACTCCATCAGCCAATCCCTGTCTCTGAGCCCGGAAGGTATGGTTATCTAGAGTGTGAGGGGTTCTACCTGGAACCTCAATTGAGTTAAGTTATCATCGGGTAGTGGTGTAAATGGGTGGTTGGGGTTCCCGCTGACGGTCCCTTTCCTCCTGGCTTTGATGGCGGGTTTCGGCCTGTCAGGGATTAGATAGGTCCCGAGTGTTGCTTGCACTGTGTTGCGTTCAGGGCATTTCATTATGGTCCTTCAGGGTTTCGGCCTTGGTGGAACCCATTTGGAGTGTACGTGCGACCAAGTAACCGGTATCCCTGGTTAGGATTGAGGGGTAACCCTCTTTCTGAAGGGTTGCTTCGGCAGCCAGTGAGCTTGATGGCCTTAAGTATACCAACCCTGGTGTGTTCAAGGTTTGTGCGCAAGCTCTAGCCGACACTATGGGACCCGGGTTATGTTTAATCATGGGTACCGGGTAGCCGTTGGGGTACCTTGGCTCCTTCGACAAATAATAATAATAGATCATTTTGACAGTAACCAGGTAATTTAAACCACTTTCAGACAACTTGTTTCCCCAGACATCTCACAACATTAATAACAGGAAGCAAGATAATCGATTAGTTAGGTGACTAATTGAAATGGCCTATTGGGTCTGATGATGATTGAAGTGTCTAATCAAAATCGATCACCACTTACCATCTTTCATATGTATTTACCGTCTTGTGAGTCAACAGTATAAATTTAAATATATTTTTACTAGTGTTATTAGATGTATATATCTTTTTGTTTTTTCAGACTAATTGTAGGCCTACTATACATTTAGTAGCCTACTATAAATTAGTGGTTCAATAGTCTACTTATATTTTTTAGTCTAATTAGTCAATAGTTTTGGTTAGTTAACTGAGTACATCACTAAGTAAAATGGTATAGATGTACAATTTTTCTTTAATGTTTCCTCTCATAATTTAAAATAAACTGTTAAGAAATCCTACTCTACACAATATGCAAATCTGATGATCCTTTAAAAATAACGTATAAAGTGAAGATAATGTTTCATCACAAGGACTAACCATTAGAATCTGTTTGATTACCGGCATTCTGTGGTATGCCGGAGGTATTGCGACTCTTACTACGGTGAAACTAAAAACAGCCAACCAAAAAATGATATGCTTAATCAATCCATACTCTATTATAAATTCAGAAAGGTCGTCCCATAGAAGTTTGTGCCAATAGAGGAAGATGGGGTGAAACTTCAGGAATGCATTCCCCATATCATCCTGAAACAAGTAACAACAGTTGAACATCATAAAAACAAAAACAAAAGAACATGATGACCTTAATATGTAACAAATATTTTTGAACATAAAAAACTTAGAAAGTACCTATGTGTTTGGTTAAAGGTTACATGATGAATATGCTAATGGGTAGTAAATGCTACATTAAATAATTAAAAAGCAAACAATACCGTAGTTAAACTATGATGAAAAAGTGTTTAATATCTTTTGGTTTCCAGCTGACGTTTTCTAATCACCAAATCTAACAGTATCTTTAGAAGTACAAAGAGAGTACCGTGTACACACAGCTGTAAGATCATTTATATTCCAGCAGATCGGAGGAAACCCTACCTTAAAACTTGAGAATTAGCAGAGAGATATGCAGATGTGAGGAGTACTGTACAGTCTTAAGCCTGATTCAGATAACCAAGATCAAGGCTGTTTATGAGAATCCTACAAAAGTTTTAATATAATATGGTGCTTATGATTTACGTTTTAGGTTCATAATTCAATGATAATAAATTGTATATATTGTAAAACAAATTTAAACTAAACAAATAATGTATAATTTTGTAACTGTTGTAGTTTTCTAAGATAAGTACCTGATGAGGATCCGGCGTCAATGAGAGTGACACGTAGAGCATGAGAGGGATAAAAATAAGCCAGGCCCCAAAAAAGATATACTCAATGTCTAACATGAAGTAATCTCGACCATATACAAACAGACACAATCCAAGAAAATAAACCAGTGAGTAATCAGGCATCCCAACTGCAACACAAGAAAAGCACATAATGAATCCCATGTACATGGACAAGTCAGTGTAATTATTGGTGGTCTTAACCCTTCCCGGACGGGCGAAATCATGACATAGGACGGGAAAAAATTAGAGGAAAAAATAAAAATTAATTTTTCATATTTATGTTTTGTTATACATGTATACATAAAATAAACACAGTGGAACACATTATACTGTCAAAATAATTTTTTTACTCGTTTTTAATTATGCGGATATATCCGCTACCCGTCCGCAGATGAGTAGAAATGCAGCGGATATATCCGCCACCCGTCTTTGAAGATATGACCATGACAACGTTAGGCAATGAATAAAGAACAATATGTAAGCAATAAATAAAGACAACGTAATGTTGAGCGCGAAACGTCGAGGGGGGGAGCGTAGGAGTGGTGGTAGGTGCGCGGGAGGGGGTGAGGCGCAGGAGAGGGGTTGGCGCGGGAGAGAGGGGGAGTGCGGGGGAGAGCGCAGTCATGGAAAGAGCAGGAAAGTGGTGCCTTGGTACCGCGAAACTTCTGGTTACTGCTCAAGCACCTGCCAGTCTGTCTGAAGAGAAGGCGGATATAACCGCTTCCCGTCCGGAACATCAAAAACCATATGCGGATATATCCGTCACCCGTCCTTTATCGCCAAAGACTTAGGCGGATATATCCGTCACCCGTCCGCGAAGGGTTAAGATTTACCAACTTTATGAGTAAATAATGCTAATTTATAAATTAATGTTGTACTATTTGTGGAATTTTAACAAGTAAGTGACATTCTGATTCATTTCTTTTAAAATGCAATATAGTATTAAAAAGTAACAGGCATGTTTAATTTATTTAAAGGAATGATGATGGATAAAAGTCTGTTAACCCTTCCCGGACGGGCAAAATCGTGACATAGAACAGGAAAAAATTATAGGAAAAATAAAAATTAATTTTCTTTATATGTGTTTTGTTATACAAGTAAACATAAAATACCCCTGCCGCAGCAAACCTGACGCCTAAGCGAATTTCCATTTGGCTGAATTGATTTTCAATTGATCTATTTAAATAACATTAGGTTTAACGAGTACCTAGGTTTGCTGCTACAAGGAAACTAATAAAGTGTGTGTTTTAAGTAAAATAATTATTGCTTGACGCCTAAGCGAATTTCCATTTGGCTGAATTGATTTTCAATTGATCTATTTAAATAACATTAGGTTTAACGAGTACCTAGGTTTGCTGCTACAAGGAAACTAATAAAGTGTGTGTTTTAAGTAAAATAATTATTGCTTAGTATAAAATGAATATATTTGCCAAGTTTGATCAAAAGATATCCATAAACAAGCAAACTACAACATCTTACAATATTCTCCATAAGAATAACATGGGAATTTTAAATTTACCATTTTTTTAGTTTTCTCCGTAACCAATAACCGTACAAAAACACTTTGATATACTGAATTGTTTGTTTTTTAAGCTCTTTAAGAAGGTTTAGAGAAAAATTGGGAAATTTTGTGTTTTGAGGGTCAAAAGTGAGAAAAACCAATTTTTACCCCGTAAAACCCCCCATAAAACCCTGTTCCCATGGTCCGATCATGCTGGATCGCGAACTCATTCAAGTTTATCCCGCCTTACACCTTCAAACCAAATTTCATCAAAATCGGATAAAAATTACTCAAGTTATCGTGTTCACGGACATATATATATACATATATATATATATATATATATATACATATATAAAAATTTGAACGAGTGGTGTTTTTGGCCTCTGGGGACATCAAAATGAAAAAGTAAATTGGTCCCGGGCCTAAGTCTTACCATGAGACCTACGGTAATAGCTACTTCCCTATAGGGAAATTCGCTAATAAACACAATAGAACACTTCATACTGTCAAAATAATTTTTTACTCGTTTTTAACTTTGCGGATATATCCGCTACCCGTCCGCGGATGAGTAGAAAAGCAGCGGATATATCCGCCACCCGTCTTTGAAGATATGACCATGACAACATTAGGCAATAAATAAAGAACAATATGTAAACAATAAATAAAGATAACGTAGTGTTGAGTGCGAAAGGTCGAGGGGGAACGTAGGAGAGGTGAGGGTGCGCAGGAGAAGGGGAGGCGTGGGAGAGGGGTAGACGTGAAAGAGAGAGAAGGGAGTGCAGGAGAGAGCACAGCCATGGAGAGAGCAGGAAAGTGGCGCTCTGGTACCGCAAAACATCTGGTTACTGCTCAAGCACCTGCCAGTCTGTCTGAAGAGAAGGCGGATATATCTGCTTCCCGTCCGGAACATCAAAAACAATAAGCAGATATATCTCCCACCTGTCCTTTATCGCCAAAGACTTAGGCGGATATACCTGTCACCCGGCCGGGAAGGGTTAAGAAGTTGAATAAGAAGTGCCAAGTGGACAATGAACTATCCTAGCAGTATTACCTAACCTATTGAAGGACCCTGTAACATGTGTTAAGCAAAATTATCAATAACAGTTCACCTAAAAAGATAAAATAAGGTAAATTTTAATTTCAACTATTATAAATAAAAGGGATATTCAGAAGATAAGAAACGTTTCCGCCTGTTGTTGCTGGGAGCACACCAAATGCACACTTTTGAGTACAGATGTGTTCACCTTCTCAAGATAAGATTTCCTCGCTGTCGAAAACAGCAACAATATCCGGCTGCGGGATTGGTATTGTCGTGTATGTCTTTTATGCACTTGAGTTTTGAAATCGGCCACTAGCAAAATGCCTGTACTTGGCTCTCGTGTATTAAGGTTGGTGGGAAAAACAAAGCCAAATTAGACATATGGGGGTTAAAAAGTCCAAACTAACGTTCATGAAAAAAGGGAGTGAACGCCCAACCTGTGACTGATGCAATGATTTTAAGTTGATGAAAATATATGTGAAAACAGCCATTCCACAATAACGGGACTTTCGCTTTGATTCTTACAGGTTTCATGGCCTTGTTGTTTGAAAATATAATGCAAAAAATTTTCTACCACAAACGTTGTGCAGGATGGGTGCCAAAAATGGACTACAATAAAGGTCAGTAAATGTTGGCAGCTTTGATGCTTTTGGACTGTCATCTAGATGACAGTTCCTTATTGGATTCCTTATTGGATCAGATCGCAACTGGTGATGAAACATGTCGATTGCGTAAACATCACACACTTGATCAAAAATGTTTATAAGTTTAAGTTTTGGCCAACAAAACCATATTACAGACCACACCTCACAACTTGCGGTATTTTCAATTGCAGCACACTTTTCAACTTAAATGTGTTAACGATAAGCAGCACAGCACAGATAAGCCGCTGTGACAGCTGCACAATCACTAAGGAGGCAAACTTGAAAAAGAGTGTAGACCAAATGAAACAAGTAGGGTGACAATTAAGTCTTAAAGACAACTTTATAACTTGGAAACGAAAAGGGATATCACAACCAAAGTTGGCACTTCATTACTGGTAATAGTAAGCTACTATTTTTTGTACATGGTGATTGGATGTCACTTATGGAGGACGGCTCATAGGGAGTAAGTTTAAAATGGTAAAGGTAGGCATAGATTGATATATCCACCAAATTAAAGGTCTTTGTTGAACTAAAACTCAAAAATGGCAGCCGATCAATGATATCTTGATTCTGCCACTTTGAATTTTTAAACGGCTGCCATTTCTAAAGGTGGCTTCAGACATGCGCCATTCGCAAAGCACAAAATATTTGACGTTCAACGATCTAGTTGTCTTGATTCATCGATTAACGAGTAGACGCCTACACACATGTGTTTATATTTTCCGAGCATTTGTCAGTTTTTCATTTGTTTCAGGAATAGCAAATATTCGTTTACTTTTATGTGTGCAAAAATACCGACAACGAACGGGAAAACATGAGCACGAATGTTTGCTTTTTGCCAAATAGACAAACACCCATCCACACTACTCGTGATTCTGCGAGTCACAGCTCTGTGCTTGGCGAATGGCGCATGTCTGGAGCCGCCTTTTCTCAGTAGTTCTTCTGAGCTCAAATTTGCGGCATTGTATTATAAATACTTTTAATTTGATGTGATTATTGTGTGAGGAACACGATACCTATCCTCTCTACTCCTTAGGCTATTGTGAACTTACAAATGAGGGCGTAGCTCTGTATGTGCTTCACTAATTTACTGTGTTACTGCATTAGTTTGCTTGTGTTATGAGAAAGGGTTGGTTTCCCCAGAAATAATTATACCAGTTGTATATGTTGTAATAATCAAATCTTTATTTAATTGAGCTCTAAAATAGATATCTACCTTACAAAACTGACACTATAATAATAACAATATGAGAGCTAACTACAGAACCGCTCTGGAGGTAGCGCAATCGCTAAGCTAGTTTCTCTACTCTACTTTAAACCTTTATCAAATGCGAATATTAATATAAATAACGTCTCCCTTTTAACTCATAAACGACTACTAAATTCCCTTTTAACAAAACTCCCAAATTACTCAGATAGATAGAACCAAACTAAACTCTATTTTCCCCAAAATCAAGACTTCACCCTTAAAACCTTTCCCGTCGGAGCTGACCCCAACAATAGCAATAGGACCGGTACGCATCACCTCCTGTGGCTCCCCTCCTGTCCGACGGACCCCATTCTATTGCCACTTAGCCTATTTATCTGATCGCTCTGCTACTGAGTGCAAAGCCCTCAGTGTTTACCTAAACACCTTCAGTTCACTTCCTAGTTGGCAAGGTCTCTCACCTCCTCTCTACAATTCAACTCTAAAACCTCTAATTTACATATATAAATAATATATAAAATCCATCTCTTCCTTACATCCCCCCTACCTTACGAGGGTAACCTTACGAGGGTGACCAAAAATTAACAATCATAGTCCTAATATAACATGTCATCGGTCAAAAATTTCTATTATAATTCTTCCCGCCCCTAATTTCCTATTAATCCTTGCATTTGAATCCAACAGTGTAACTTCAACATCAAACTTGTACAATTTTAGACTTTAATAAATCAAAAGAACCGATAAAATCCCCAACCATACAAAAATCACAATGTATTTAAATGACGTCAGGTCTGTGACACCCCACCATGTTTCTGGCAAAACCACGTCATCCAGCAACGATGGTGGAATGTTCTGGTGGACCACAAAAGACGGAGAAAAAACATTCCTATTCGTATTTAATATCTGAGAAAAATTTCTAAAAACTGCACTAGAATTAAACACAAACGGATCTACTGTAAAGTTTTCCAAAGAGGTCCACGCCGCAGGCAGTAGATGAATAACGGAAGGTGATTCTGTACTTGGCAAACAAGGGTACTGCCTGGTTATTAAAACCACGCCCCCATCAAACAACTCGCAATCGCAACCCACTTTAACCTCAAAACCCCATCAAAGCAAAATCTAGCAAATTTGGCAAATCTAGGGGTAAAACTGATGAAAAATGGGGACAGTATAGGGTGATGTTCGATGATGGATTTGTGACCAGGAAAGAGTCCTCCGCCACCTGTGTCACCAACACGCCACCATGCAAAGGGCTGCATTAGAACGGGCACGACTTCCTCAGCTCTTCAATGGTACGGTGTGCCAACAGCTTCTCCGCACACTCCATCGACAAAGCCGAACCTCACCGCTGTCGTGGTAGCTTGCAGAGTCACAACGCCACAGGCCTGCAGTCATCCCTTTGCAGCCCCAAGATTGTACGAACCGTGGTCCCCGCCAGTGCCCCAAGATTAGGGCTCAGTGCCATAGAACAGGTGAGTCCCTTCCATGCCATTGGTACCGCGTTATATTCATATAATGCCCATCTGTGCCCAATCTGCTGGACAGGCACTGTTATTGTCAAAGCCATCTTCATTGGTGATGTTTTACAACTTGTTATGGGCAAAGCAACACCCCGACGTTTTGTAGAGGCAGAGCAATTTCATATCCATGCCTTGACACGTTCTGCCCTAGCTCCACCAGATCCTTCCGTAATAACTCTTCAGGCACCAGTATCGAAGGTAGAAAATTCTTCTTGCACTCCCCCCGAGCTTTGTCATCCAACTGCCCCACTAGACTCCCATACAGTTGCGCTTGAAAGTGGACAATGTTTCGCAGCATATTCCCATAGATGTTTGAATAATATATAAACACCTACTCTAACAGTATTAACCATTTGTAAAAATCCCCATCTGAAAAGATTTATTACTATTAAATTAAACTTTAAACTCAAATATATTCCTAAAAACAGTACACCATAAAACACTATGAATAATTATCCCTCAAACTACTTCTACAAAATATAATTATATTGATCCATCATTCACTGCATCTACTGCGCATAAAGAGCTGAAACAGACTAATTTTACAGCACATGTTCGCCACATTACTCGCACAATACACACTAGATTGGAAATAGCAAGTATGCAACCACAGAATCACATTAAAAAGAAACTTGAGAACTACAAGATATCAGATTCAATACAAATTAACCAGGCAAATACACTCACTTGTACACAACAAACAACATCTGAAACACACATTACACATGTGAATCCAGCACAGGACAAATAATAACCTTGTGCAGCTAGCACTTAGCATACAGTATAAAAATACCTCGTCCACTCAGCACATAACACAAATTTACCTTGTGATCCCAGCATATAACAAATGCAAACCCTGTGCATCCAGATGTGTACTCAGCACATAACGCAAAAACTCTTGTGCTTCCAAACACGACAGTAAATTCACATGCTACCGGCATATGACACATAACACTCGTGTAACCGAACACAAACCCAAAACACATATCGAACTCACGTGCAACCCACTCATGACAAATAGAACACTCGTGTAACCAAACACGAACACATATCCAACTCACAAACCGCACATGAAATATAAACTTGCACAAAATAACACTGGAAAACTTCACATTTACGACATTCCAGCCCTTCACTGCTATCCCAAAACACACTGAACCCCCTATAAAACTTATTAAAAATTGCACCGAAGTGGTGATTACAAATAATAAAAAAAAGGCATATTAAAAAACCAAAATTTGTAACACTAGTAGAACGCCAAAATTAAGTCCAATTATTTTGCCCAAGAGGTACCAAGATCGAAGTTTTGTAAAAAATTACAAAAACCCTGGTGCTTCCATCACCTGTAATGGTAGGTATTTTTCCCCTTGAATTACCCACTGTTACTTCGGGTAACGTAGCTCAGGAATGAAACTCAGCACTCGCTTACAAAACCCAACTTTATTAATAAATAAAACAACACAATGAACACAAAGATAAATAAATATCAAGCTTAACGGTAAAGTAAACTGGAACTGTATAAATCATTTAGTTACAAACTGAAACCCCAATTTGGAAAAGACTCTAAACCCAAATTTTGAAAACCCTTAACATTGTCTTACCTGTACCCAAGGCCAAAGGGCCATGGGCTCCAGCTCCCCCAGCAGGACTCTGTCCTCCGGTGCACCACACACACCACACCACACAAAACTATCCCCCTGATCTAGTTTACTGGTCTACTTAAAGCAACAGCCTTCAGTAGGTTAGCACAACATGTTACTGTTTAACAACACTCCCAGCCTACTCACAAAACATTGCCAAACACTTCCTGCTTACAATATTTGGCCCCTTCCATTACAATTGACATATGCTTAAGTTTAAAATTTACTTCCGTCTTCTAGCGGGCCTGAAGGTAAATACCTGAAAGGTAATACCTGAGGAGGTAAAAAATTAGCTTACTATTACCAGTAATGATATTCCATTTGGTTGTGATATCTATTTTTGCTTTAAAGTTATTAAGTCGTCCTAAGAATTAAATTGTCACTCTGTATATACAAAGTAATATATATATATATATATATAAATATATATATATATATATATATAACTGCAGCGGTTCCAAAAAACACAAAATATAATGTGACATTTTTGGAACTGGTCAAACTAGTAGTTTGTTATTATATGAAAATGACTAGTGACGTGTCAAAACCGAATCTCAAATCTCAAAAACATTAAAAAAGAGATTTGATTGGCGAGTTTCAAAATTCAAAGTCTCAAACTTGAAAATTTTGTAAGTTTAGGTTTTGTTATTATATGAAAATGACTAGTGACGTGTCAAAACCGAATCTCAAATCACAAAAACATTGAAAAAGAGATTTGATTGGCGAGTTTCAAAATTCAAAGACTCAAACTTGAAAATGTTGTAAGTTTAGGTTTTGAAACTGCTTACAATTTTTGGTGTCATTATTGTTTATTTAACACCGTTTAAGCAGGCCGCAATAATGGAGCAAACAGATAACAGCTAACACAGGTGAAATAAGTACCTAATTTTTTTTCTGAACTACAATAGGTATCATGATACTAATACTGGAACAATGTGCAATACAATTTCATATTGATATTTACTGAACAACACATAATATTGACTTCTAAAGGTTTTAATGGTTTTAGCATAAATAAAACATACTCCCTTAGTAGATTTTCCATCTTTATGGAACAGCTGAAACCAATTTTACTGATAGTTCTGTCCGGTGTACTGTAAAGTCGTGTTTTGTTTACAATTTGTTTCTAAATAATAACGATATTACCTTCTACCGTTCCAGATTGTTGCAGTCTTAAGACTTGTTTCGTCAACACAGTGACATCATCAGGTATCCGCTATCGATTCGTCTTGAATATTAACATAAAACAGTAATTGCACAATTCACAAACACACATTTAATACATTTAAAGACCGATCGGTATTGTTGTCGCGGTGGCCACAACTCGCGTACGCACATGATTAATTCATGATTTCTTTGGATTTAATCATGTGCGTGTGCGAGTTGTGGCCACCCCGATGACAATACCGATCGGTCTTTAAATGTATTAAATGTGTGTTTGTGAATTGTGCAATGACTGTTTTATGTTAATATTCAAGACGAAGCGATAGCGGATACCTGATGATGTCACTGAGTTGACAAAACGCGTCGTAGACTGCAAAAATTTGGAACGGTAGAAGGTAATATCATTATTATTTATTAATAACTGACGGTCCAGTAGTAGGAAATTAATTATAATTTGTTTCTAATATTTTAGGGTTAGTTTCTCATGATTTGTGCCTCACTGTTTGGTTATATAACTAATAGACAATAAGTTATATTGTTTATGATTAGATAGTTTTATTTGGTTAAACGAGGTTTTAGATTACTGAAATAGCAAGAAACAAATTGTAAACAAAACACGACTCTACAGTACACCGGACAGAACTAACAGTAAAATTGGCTTCAGCTGTTCCATAAGAATGGGAAATCTACTAAGGGAGTATTTTTTTTTTATGGTTTTAGTTATTCGTCACATATGATATAATGTCGAGGTTAGGAATAAAAATCTTTCAGTTTTGATTGCATAATAAAAATTATATAATTACCTGTGAAAGTTTTGCTTATGGGTTTTAAGTTTCGAGATTCTATTTTTTGAGTTTTGGTTTTGAGATTGAATATTTCTGATATTTGGTGTTTTGACCAATACTAGAAATGATGTACAACCAGCAACCAGCTGGCAAAAATTAGACAGAGAACAAAAATATGAATTTTTGCTTTCAAGTCCAATATTGTTTTCGAATATTTGTCAACTTTACAAAATAATCCTATATGTAGGCTAGATAAATTCCAACTATAGATAGATGAACGGTAAAAAATTAAATATAAGACAACTCAAACATATTTTATGGTTACACAAGCATACGGTATATGAAAATAGAGACTTACGTTTCTCAGTTACGTTCAATATATAATCCTTGCTGGTTACGATTCCAAAGCATGTTTTCTTGTGTGGATCTATATTGATAATGAATTTAGGCCAATCAAAGATGTAGAATTTAAAAACTGGGTTTTTGTCTGTGAACCTTTTCAACACTTCTCGTTCATTTCCACCCCAGTAAAGTGTGAATTCATCGTAGCGAAGAGATATCACTGCCTACAAACATGAAATTAGTGTTTAGTATAGAATGGTAACATTATTCATAAATACCCAAGTTATATAAACATCAAATTTTTTCTAACAAACTTATTAGGAAAACAGCAGCTTATTACCTGTTCCTTTAAATCAATAATTGGTACTTTCCTATTAAAGGGAACATTCATTATTATCGATGGTTTCTTTATGATACATCGATATTTTGGTTTTCCTTTACAATTCATATTCCATCTGTTTTAATATATTCAAATGAATTTAAATTACATACACACAGACAAACAGACATAGCAATTATGTCAAAGTTATACTTGGTTCAATAACCAAGTTAATAGCATTGAGTTATCATTGACTATAATATACCACTGAGCTATAATAATAACTGGAGTAACCACTCTGTGTTTTAAAAACGTACCACTGTTTTTGCTGGTTTTGTTTCGGAGTTTCGTTTTGTTAGATTGGCCGGGTGATCGGGTTGGTGGGACTTGTCAAATTAGAGGCAAGATCAAGATGGCGTCATCCTGTTTTGTTGATACAGTAGTAAACAAAAATCTGCCAACTCAACATTATGATTGCAATATAAGTTTATTTATTTATTTTACGAGCAAGAGCAACCCATTTTAACAAGATCATAAACCGATGGTCGTTATTTAATCAAATGCCATAGGGCTATTGGCCTAAACCAATATCTCCAAACCAGGAAATTTAACTAGCCTATTTTCACCACATAGCTTGAAAAGAGGTAAATAAGTTAGTATTTATTTACTATCAAACAAAAACAATTTATAACGTTTCAAAATAACTTTAAATACAGAGGTTTTAACGTGCAATAGCTTAAATAAGTTGTTGATACAAGTCCTTGAAATAAGATAACCCCAAATAAATAGTATGGTTAGGTTAGAATGAATTGGAATTATTTCTTGACAGCATCCCACCAACCGATCACACGGCCAACCTAACTAACAACACGAAACACCAAAAACAAACCAGCCAAAACAGTGGCACGTTTTTCTCCAACGTTTAACCAGAGAGTAGTGACTCCAGTTATAATCTATATCTCAATGTAATATACCTACAGAGCTATAACGCTATAACCATTATTGACTATATGTATACCTACTATATATATATTGGTATTGGACTATATGTATTGGTTAATGAATGAATGAATATAGTTTATTCCAAAAAAACATAGGCTACAAGCTGTAATTATAAACTAAATAAAGTATAATAGACAGAGACTTTTGTCACTAAAATATATTATACGAGTTTTAATAAAGCCAAAAATTATAACAATAAAATAAAGGAACTAGGTATATAGTCAATGGATATGGCTCATATTAGAGAGTAGGATTAAGAACTAATCTTGTTTATGAAAAATTAATAGCATATAATTAACATAACTAACCAAACTTCCTGTAGGCTAAGTTACCATTTCAAAATTCTGTTTGATAACAGAAAAGGCATATGGGGAATAGGCTATCAAACAGAATTTTGAAATTTTACAGCAAGTTAGGTTAGCTTAGAACAGTTTCATTTCAATATAATTTTTTTATTGTTTGTTGATTACTGATAACAATATGTATTTATCATAGTTGTCAGCTGATAAGTCTCAATTTGTTAATATCAATATATCGAATAAAAAAATAAAATATCCCGGCGGGATGTAGGCTTTTGCAGGTAATGACAATCAAATTTTTACCAATTAGTACCACGACTTTTTGGTGAATTTACACAACCCCGGACCAAAGGCTTACCCTGCACGTATGTGGACAACACACAAGAAACGACTGGGCAGTTGCTCTGGTTCTGAGCTTGGATGAAGACGCGAGGGATTGTGGGTAATGCAAGTTAGTCTGTGGCCAGCTGATATATGATTTTGTGCGGGGATTTGAATTTGAGGTTCTTTACCTCAAATTTGGTACAAAGAAATCATCGATAATAATGAATGTTCCCTTTAACAGGAAAGTATCCAATAACACTTTGGTTTTTGTCAGCAAAAACTGTTGTGTGATGTAACTATAGGCCTAATGCACAGCTAATCTTAAACATTTGCAAAGGTTTTAACCCTTAACACTTGGACCTGCTAAATATATTGTTGCAAAATTTACATAATTATACTATTTATCCATTATCTAAAGCTACAAGAGTACTATAAAATTACCTGTACACTTGTGATACTCAGTTTCAGTTCATTGCCATGGTAACAGAAAATCGTAGGATTACTCTCGTTCAGTGATTTGTTGCAACATGAGAAAATGGATCCATTTTTGATATTGTTACCTGAAATTGTTAATTATTTTAAACTGAGTAAAAACAATATTTGTACTTATACTAGATAATAGTTTTAAAAGGTTAAACAATTGCTTGGTGAGAACCCAATAGAAAAGTAAACAATAATTACTGTACGAACCCAAGTAGCAGAAAAACGAGAAAAAAATTGTTTTGATATCAATTTAAAACTTATATTAAAACTGTTATTAATATGAGTATAGTTGACAACCGGCAAATCTTACTAATATTATAAATGTGAAAGTTTGTTTGTTTGTTTGTGTGTTTGAAGTTCAATCACGCATAAACCACTGGACGGATTGGGCTGAAATTTGGCATGATGATAGCTTAGGCTACATTCCCGATTAACATATAGGCATATTCTTATCTCAAAACTCCTTTCGGGCTCCGCCCCAGTGGATCTGTAATTCCCCATGTTAACCTTATGAGTATTCATATTTAAAGGGAATTAAAGAATTTAGTCAGCTGTTTCAACTAAAAAAATTGGTTCTATGATATGGAAAGCATTAAAAAGTTATAAGATTTACCAACAGGGTGCAGCACTATATTTTCTTTGCATTTATGAAAACAGCTAATTTGAACTAAGCAGCAACAAAAAACTGTGATTCGCAATGAGAACTGTCAAAGTAGGATTGTTTACAGTTATGTTTATGTTTTTCATTTCATGAATAATTTGTGATATTTTGCGAATTGTTGATAATTTATTTTTCTCTATTGTTTAGGTGAAGTGGTAGAACATTATGGCTATGCTAGATGTGTAATACTATAGAATACTGTAAATTTAAAAAAGCAAATTTTACCAAACTGTGTCCTCCCTTATTGCAAATGCAAAGCTTGAGTATAACTGCAATAAGCATTTTATACTTATATTCCAACCCCGTACGAAGGAAGGGTACTCTGCTAGTTTTAAAATAGTTCAAAAATTGTTTTACAACAATTTAAAAACTGTTTTACAACAATTTTAAAATTGACTTTAAAACAAGTTAAAAATTGTTTTCACATAGGACCAACCATTCCATGGGCATATCCTACATGAACATGAAATAATAAAGATTTTGTATGAAATGCATATATATCAATGGAGTATTTTGATTAAATAGTTCATCAAAACAAATTTTGAGAAAAACTGGAATCAAAATTATCTCCCCCACCGGGTCTTGAACCCGAGACCTCCAGTTTGTGAACCCCATACCTTACCTCTGTGCTATCTACGGCTGTTGATATTTGAAGTTTTCAATCGGTTAAAGAGGAGCTGACAGTTGCAATGGTTGCAATACTTAATATTTTTGATACTATGATTATGTTTAGGCATCAAGTTGTTGAATTGATTTTCTGGGAGTTGAGTAGGTATATAGTAGTATTGATTGACCGGTATATAGATAAATTAATTAACATTGCTAATGTTATTATTATTATTATTGTTATATGATTAATTCATCTCCCCCCCCCTTATTGTTCAACTACTAAAAATTTTCTCAAATAACAGAAAAAAACAACAAAAATATTTGCATTATTCCTATTAGCCTATATGTTAAGCAGGTGTTCTATCACTGTATCTAGTATCACAACTATCACAATTAACGTCATTGGTGACTTATCACAAAAATCGGTAACAACTTATGCATTATGAATTTACCTATTCAAGTAATTCAATATTCATAATGTAATAACTACTACGAAATTATAAAGAATTGTATTATAAAAAAAAATTCTTTATAAGAATTATTTTTAATTGCCATGCTTTACCTGTACAATAAATAGGGTATAATTTTTTACGTATTTTAATAGGTGCTTTTCCAATTACTTCATTTCATTTTTAATTAAAGAATTTAAATATTATAGGCTGTTATTTAAACATGATTGATAAAACCTATTTATCTTGTATATATCAAAATTAAATATAAGCAAATTTCAAAAGGCCAAAAAAGGGATACAACCCATTAATTAAGATTAAACATAAATAATCAAGCAAATTAAACATTTATTTCAAAATTGTTGAAACTTGTATTTTAATAACTACAAAACAATTGTTTAAAAGTTTTGTAAACAATTGAAATATTGTTGAGAAAATTGATTTCAAAATTGTTGAAACTTGTTTTTTTTAAGAACTACACAAGCAATTGTTAAATAGTATTGTAAACAATTTTAACATTGTTTTAAAATTTTTATAAAAAATAAGAATAAAACAATTTTAAAATTGTTGTAAAATAGTTACAACTTGTATTAAAACTATTTTTTTTTACTGCAAAAAATTAATTTTTTAACAATTTTAAAATTGTTGTAAAATAGTTACAACTTGTATTAAAACTTATTTTTTTAACAGCAAAAAAACTTATTGTTAAACAATTTTAAAATTGTTTCAATCTTATATTAAAATAAATTAAAGTAAATTAGTTCCAGGTCAAGGTCTTACCATAAGACCTGGGGTAAATGCGTATTCCTTAATATCTATATGGGAAATTCGCTATAAAGACCCATATACAATTAGGCCTATTAACAGGGCCCGTGAGAGCCAGTAACAGCCGGTAACAGGCCCCCTATTTTCCTGATTTAGTGTCCAGCCACCTCCGTGCCGTTTTGGTACCTCGTATAACAATAGGCTACATACCTAAAATGCATGATGGTTTGAACTGAAATTATTACAGTTGCAACTTTACGGTATTCTATTAAAAAAATACTAAGTAATCTGGAAAACCATGCTAAATTTTGTT